CAAGTGGGAGGAGAAGGCGGCCTCGTAGGGGCCTCCTTGGGGCCTCTTTAGCCCTACTGGGGCGGTCTGAAGGCGATCCTGGCCCGTTGGAAGTCTTCGGGCGCTGTCTTAGGGACCTCCCTGGGCCGTTTTGCGGCGCTGTAGAGTCGTCTTGGAGGTCTCTTGCGGTGTGTTGGGGCTTCGTTGGGGCCGTTTCGGTGGGTCTCTTGTGCCACTGTGGGACGATAGTGGGTCGTTTTGGGGGCCTCTTGTGCCTCTTGGGCCGCCGTTTTGGGTCATGCTCTTGTTTTTGGGGAGCCCTCCTGGAGGCCTCATGGAGCCCGGTTGGACCGTATTGGGTGCCTCGTCGCCCGTTTCGAGGCCATCACGGGATGTTTCGGGCCATCTTGCGCCGTCTTGAGGCTACCCTGGGCCCTCTTGAGTCCATCGCGCACCGTCCTGAAGCCATCGTGGCCCGTCTTCGGGCCACACTGGCACCATCTCTGGCCAGTTGGAGACCGTCTTCAGGCCCAGAAGGCCCCATGGAGAATCGAGGGTGGCCAGGGTATGTGCTCTTTGGGCAACGCGAGCCCCACCCACCCCTCTAGGATGGGTAACCTTCCCAGGGTACCCTTGCATCCTTGCCGCTTCGGCCCATGCTTAGCGACTTTCGCTGGCCAACCTCGTTCGAAACGCGTTCACATGGGCCTCCAAGGCCCTTGCCTCCTTGCCGCGCATCCTTCTGATACGGGTCGACTGTACCTTCCAAGCTTTTACACGGCCACGGCGCCTCACCGCCTCCTCCGTTCGCCCGCCGGAAGCCTGTCGTATTGACGCACCGTCTATCCCCACCGTCCCCTCCAGAAGCGATGACCAAGGGAGCTATCCGGAGGAGGGGCGAGGACGTCAAATAGGATGAACTAAAGAGAACAGAGCTTTACAATATGCGGCGGCAGAGACGCGGAGCGAGACGTCAGAGGAGCAGAAAAGCACATCATGATGAACTTATGAGAATCAGAGTATGTAGGCCCCTCTGAGGCCTCTTGAAGCTCGCTTGGGAGCCTTTGAAGCCCTCTCTGGGTTCCATCGGAGACACTTCGGGCACCTTATTGGGGCAATATTTCAGGTCACTGAGGCGCAAACAGATGCAACAAAGGTGCCACTGATTAGCCTTAAGTCGGGCCTGTCCCTCTACAGGAGGAATTTTCAAGAATAGTCAATAGTAGTCTGAGGACGGTGTTTCTCGTATGGTTGATTGTTTTTTTTCTGTTTTTAGCATTTTGGGGGTATTTGGTTTATTTGTCTTCCAAACTCCGCCTCTAGGGGGACATGCCCGACCTAAGATTAGCGCCCCCCCCCGTCGGAGCCCGACAAGACGCCTCTCGGGGCCTCCTTGGGGCAATGCTGGGCGCGCTTGGGGCCGCCTTGGAGCCTTGATGGGCCCCTTCGGAGGCTCTGTTGGGCGATCTTGGACTTAAGTCGGACGTGTCCCTCTACAGGAGAAATGCTCAAAAATATTTACAAATGGCATGGGGGCGATTGTTTTAGCAGTGTTTGGCTAGTTTGGAGTATTTGTTGATGTGTTTAAATCTTTCGCACGCCCGACCTAGTCTTGGACCCGTCTTGAAGCTTGAGAAGTTCATCGGAAACGAGAAGAGAGAAGGCACACTTGATGTTTGAGCAAATATTGTGTTTGAACGATGCTGGCATCTCAGGGCGATGTTGATTACAGCCATTCGGGGGGCTCGTGGGAAGCATGCTGGAGGTGATAATGAGCCAACTTAAGCAATCTTGCACCATGTGGCCGGCCATCGTAAGGCATCTTGGGCCATCTCGGGGCGACACAGGGATGCTCGCAAGATGCCCAAATCATTCAACGCAGGTTGCTGCTCTGTAGCATTCGCTCGATGGAAAAACTGCTGGTGTGAAGCAGCCGGCTTCATAGTCCAAGCGATCGTTTCCTGGGGTCCTCGTGGGGCGCTCTTGCTATTGGGGCTTTTGGGGCCATCTCGGAGCCTCCTCCCCTTCTCCTCTATACCTCCTCCTCCCTCCGCCTCCGCCCTCCTCCCCTCCCCCACTCGGTTTTTTAAATCTGGCCCAAGCTCCAGCCTCGGGCGGCGGTTTGAGACAACTTGGGCTTCCCCGGAAGGCTCTCGATGGGCTTTCGGGGAGCCCGAAAGCTGTCGGGAATGTCGGCAAGCTACCGTAGACCTCCTTCTTCCTCCCCGCCGCCGCCGACGCCGTCGCCGTCGTCGTTTTTTGAACCAGCGCCCGCCCGAAGCCAGCCCCCAGGACTTCCCGGGGCCGTCCATCTTGCTTTTCGAGCTGCGCCGAGCCGTGGCGACAAGGGTCCCCAGAAGACGCCCCGAAGAACACCAATCCCACACACAAATTCCGACACGGGCCCCGGAGGCGGGCATCGAGCGAAAAGGCTGGGCTTGACACGAACGAGATCGTCGGAGCTCTGGGGCAGTCGCCGTCGCCGCCATCGTCGCAGCCGCTGTCGTCGTCGTGGGCCGAGGCGCCTACAGCTCGCTGCTGTCCGACGCGGCCACGGCACCGCGCCCCTCCCGCGCGCGGCTCCGCGCTGGCGGCCCCCCCCGCGGCCGCCGTTCCGTGCCGGTCGTGATGGGCCTGTTTTCCACCACCACCACCAGAAGTTGGAGGCGGGAAGAAAGTGGAGGACCAGGAGGAGGAGGAGGAGGAGGAGGAGGAGGAGGAGGAGGGGAGGAGGTGGAGGAGGAGGAGGAGGAGGAGCAGTAGGAGGACCCCCTCCCCCTCCAACTTATGGTGGTGGTGGTGGTGGTGGTGGTGGTGGTGGTGGTGGTGGTGGTAGAAAACAGGCCCATCAAGTCGGTTCTCTTCCTCTGGCTCGTCGCCGAGCGGTCTTCGTGAAGTGACCAGGAAATCCAACGCATCGAAAGCACAGCGCGGAGGCGTCTCGCAGTTCTCGGCCCCTGGGGGCCGAGAACTTGCCCTGGGGCAGAGGTCGGGACTCCTGGGGGCCCCGCGCTGCAAAAAAGCAATACATCGGGCCTCTGGGGTAGGGAAGGATCCAGGATCAGCGAGAGTCGCGGTTCTGGGGAAGGATCAAGGATCATCAAGGATCTGAGGAAGGATCAAGGATCACGGCTCGACATGTTCGGCTGCTTTGGTTGTGTCTTCGGCGTCTCGGGAGCTCCTCGCCTCCACGAGTTGGATCCTCCCCGAGGTTCTGGCCAGCGCGCGCCGCTGGGGCAGGCCCCCCCCCGCCTTGCAGGCCGACATGGTGGGCTTCGACGCCGAGTGGCTGCCGGACCAGAGCGAGGCGGACGACAACCCCATCGCGGTGCTGCAGGACGCATTTTTGCAGCAGGTCCCGAGGAGGCCTTCTCTGCACACCCTCGATCCGATCCGATGCGATCCGATTCGCAGGCTGGGGCCGCGATTCCAGCCCGATGCGACCTGGCTCTGTTCACCTGCCTCGGCCAGGGCCAGCCGGAGGCGGGGGCGATCCGCTGCCGATGCCGATCCGGGACGATCCGCGGGCGATCCGACGCGCCCTCGGGCCCTCGGGGGGGCCCGCCTCGGGCCTCGGGGCCGGTCCCGAGAAGCCGGGTCCCGCGACCGGCCGTGGCCGGAGGGCGGCGCCCGGGGGGACCTCGGGCCTCGGCCCCCGTCGTCGGCGCGGGGCGCGTCTGCGCTGCCGCGCGCGCGCGCACGGGCCGTGCGCGCGCGGTGCCCCGACGCCCCCGCGCTGCGGGCGGCGGCTCCCGTGGCAGCGCGCCAGGGGGAGGGGTGGAGCAGTGGCGAGGCGTCCTGGCTTGCCCCTGCAGGCCCCCCGAAGAGTGTGCTGAGAACCTCACTGTGTGCTCTGCACGACAGATGTTCCCAGAAGACATCTGGCGGGGGCCGTCTTGCTGTAACACGTCGGCCTCACGTTCTGAGCGCATCGTTTTTGTTTCCGAGGGCATGTCCGGGTTCAACGAACAGGTCGTGGTAGGCCTAAAGGAATGCCGGGACGGCCGGTCCCTGCTCGAAAGGAGGGTCCCCGTGATGGCGCGCCAGGGAGGGGCGGGGCGACTCAGAGGATCACGAGCGTTCCTCACGGAGGTCTGGCCTCCATTCTGCAAGGGCTTTTTTTGTCCTCCACTCTGCTTTTTTCTCGTTCCTGTCAGAGTGCAGGCTCGAGCTCCGAAGTTACGGCTCTCGATCCTTTCGTGTGCCCACGGCGTGGCGGATTCACGCAGAACTGTCCGCAGTGAATCTGCTTTTCGGCAATTCTACCGCTTCTCAGAAGATATCGTTCCACTCCGCACGTCAACTAAGAATTCGGCTCCTCAGCGGGTGCCGAAAGGGAATTTCTGACCCCCCCCAGGGACCCACAGGGACCCACAGGATCTCCTGGACCCTCCAGCATCAACGAAACATGTGCTCCAATATTACTTATAGCAAATCTCCGCATCGTACATGCCGATCGTCTTCGGCTTCCGCGTCCTGCAGGCCTCTGTTCGCGACTTCGCAGGTTGCGTAACCTCAGGCCTGCGTGCGCGAAGCATCGGCGTCACCCAAACATACTAGTACTATGTGCGCGTCGCCCCCAAAGGGGCCACGCGCGCGCTGATGCTCCGTGGCGGGAGGCCTCTTGCCATGTACCGCTCGGGAAACTATAGACTTTTTGTTTGCACTAGATGATCTGGTCGGACGCACGGCTCCGAGGAGGACGAATGGTACTATTGTGGATGGAAACAGTTCACGCGAAAGTGAGTCTTAACGCTGGAATTTCGCCATTCAATGTCCGCGGGTTCCAAGCTGGGCACGATCCGCGGCCGCCGCCGAAAATGCAAAACCTAAGCGCGAACCACAAGTGCAGAGGTTTTTGAGCCCCACCTTGTCGTGGCCAAGTCTGCAGTCCATCTCTTTGAACGTCAGAACTCCAGAGTTCTGACTTGGCTTCGCGTCGTAACTTCTTACATCCACGTTAGTCTGTCCCTCTGTGTCCACAGAGATGCGACGTTTCCATTCTTCCAGAACGGGGCCCC